GCTCGAGGTTAAGAGAATAAACTGCAGGCCAAACGTGGACAAATTCGAATACTTCACTTCTATACAAGGTTCGTCCTGATGATGTTGTTCAGAAGAACAACGAAAGCTCCATAACCGAAACATCCAGCTCATGGAACGAAACACCACAACAATCATCCAACTGAGCTATAAATTTTATCCATCTCATGAATGACTTTTTCTGATTAGTGTTCTTTTTTCAGCAAGTTGGTTTGTAGTGAAGGAGAACACAGGTGAGGGCAACCGAATTGTATTTTACGAAAATTACAGAGATACTCAGTACAATAGGAAAACCATATCGTAACCGTTAATTTGCAAATCTTCAATCCCTCATCAATCCATTGTCTGACATTTCACTTATTCATGCGTTTCATACAAATTCCATTGTGTTCCCACTCTTCCTTTCTTGATCTTCCCTCATCTTCTGCTGCCAGACATTACGTTTTCACTCGCGTCATGTACTACTTATAAGTATAAATGATTTTGTTCTGGTGTTTTTTGTTCTCTGAGCTGGATGTTTCGACTGTGGAGCTTTCATTGTTCATCTACTGAACAACAACATCATCAGCACAAACTTCACATAGAAGAAGTGAAGTATTCGTATATCTTCACATTTGACCTGTAGCTTGTTCAGTTAACCTGGATCTTGATTGGTTGCTGTTGATCTTAAACCTGTTTTGATTGTACCACCTTTTTGATCTGTTCCTTGATCCTTCCTATGTCACCTATGATTTTTCTGATCGATTGATAAATTGGGTAAATATCAATGTGTTTGTTGATTGTTGATTGACCTGATTGCCAAGCTTCTAAATTTTTTTTTAATGATAAGCAGTGGATCTAATGGCAATTTGAAGGAGCGGAATGGCAAAGCGAGGGCAGCATTTCTACAATTGAACTCAAAACAACTGTCTAACAACACCAAAGGTATGTTTCTCAATACAAATATCAAAATGGTGCTATTGTTTTCGAGAACAACGAAATCCATCATTCAGAAGATGCAAGTGTTTACTGACAATTTTCTTCCCAAAATACTTCGAATCCAATGGTCAAACAGTATCAGCAACAACCAACAACTGTAGGAGATAACAAATCTGATTCCGGTGGAGTTGATTTCCGGAATCACCAATCCTATGCCGACACCTCCTAGCTTATCAGGGCTTGGAACAGCCAATAACATCAGAGGAGCTCCAGGTGAAGTAGTACGATGAGTTAGCCAACTTATTTTGAAATCGTTTCAGTTAATAAACAGTGATGATCCTATATCGCCTATGATTTTTCTGATTGGGGGAATACAATCAAAACAAAGGTGCAGACGACAGATTTAAGGTCAACAGCAACCAATCAAGATCGAGGTTAGCAGAACAAGCTACAGGTCAAACATGGAGTAATTCGAATACTTCACTTCTATACAAGGTTCGTCCTGATGATGTTGTTCAGAAGAACAACGAAAGCTCCATAACCGAAACATCCAGCTCATGGAACGAAACACCATAACAATCATCCAACTGAGTCATAAATTTTATCCATCTCATTAATGACTTTTTCTGATTAGTGTTCTTTTTTCAGCAAGTTGGTTTTCTACGGGTTAGGGCCGCTAACCCTAAGCCTACACCTTCTCGTTTATCAGGGCTTAAAGCCAACAGTAACCTCAGAGGAGCTCCAGGTAGAGTGGTACAAGTTAGCCAACTTATTTTGAAATCATTTCACTTAAAAAAAACAGTGATGATAAACAGTTATCAATCAATGTATGAGAAATTCCATCAATGAGGAGATACTACTGATTATTTTAGTTGAGTCTTCCTCATCTCGTCGACAACAAATGAAATATGTCTTAAACAGACGGTCACATGTCAATCATGAAAACAATAAATAAATTCCTTTGTTTTTTGATAATAAAATAAATATTCACTATGCCATTGTAGCAATTCAATAGCATTATAAGGACACATCTATATTTTTCGCGCAAATCAACAAAACCACAAAAACGTATTTCTTCTAAGCACATTTTAATCTCATATTCGGAAACTTAACTAGTTTATCGGTTTATTTGTTACTGGTTCTTACTTAGGTTATCATATTATTACTGCATGTTTTTTGATCAACTTGTCCTGAATATTTTTCTGAAAAAAATACCAACTACTTTTTTATTTATTCTGTTTGTTCTGTTTAAAGACGAATTATTATACATGCTATGAGATAAGAGAATATGTTTAAGGATGGAACACACACCAGAATGAACATTGTTAAATTACAATCTTTCATTCTAAGTTCATTTGAAATAATAATAATAATCATAATAATAATATTGATTATGATTTGTTTAAATTGCCTTTATTTTTTGCCGATCTGGAATTCGCAAATGACCTAGCTCTTCTATCTCATATGAAACAACTGAATGCAAGAGAAGACGACCAATTTAGCAGCAGACACTCTGCAGCAGTAGGTCTCAATATACATAAAGGGAGAAGCAAGATTCGACGATACAACACAACATGCACCAACCAAATTACTCTTGATGGAGATTCTTCGCAGGATGGTAACAGCTTTACATTTCTGAGCAGCATCATCGACAATCAAGGTGGATCCGATACAGATGTAAGGGTACGGATCGGCAAAGCAAGGGCTGCATTTCTATAGTTGAAAATTTTCTGGAACTCCAAACAACTCTCAATCAAAACCAAAATCAGGATATTCAATACAAATGTCAAGACAGTTCTACTATGTGGAGTGGAAACTTGGAGAACTACCAAAGCCATCATCCACAAGATACAAGTATTCATTAACAGTTGTCTACGAAAAATACTTTGGATTCGTTGGCTAGACACCATCAGCAACAACGTACTGTGGGAGAGAACAAACCAGATTCCAGTGGAGTAGGAAATCAGGAAGAAGTGGTGGAAGTGGATAGGACATACACTACGAAAAGCACCTGACTGTGTCATAAGACAAGCCCTCACATGGAACCCTCAAGGCAGAAGGAAAAGAGGAAGGCCAAGGAACACACTACGCCGAGAAATAGAGAAAGATATGAAAGTAATGAACAAAAATTGTACAGAACTGGAAAGGGAAGCCCAGGACAGAGTTGGTTGGAGAAAACTGGTGGGCGGTCTATGCTCTATTGGGGGCAACAGGTGAAAGTATATATATATATATATATATATATATATATATATATATATATATATATATATATATATATATATATGGAAAATACTATATGTAATGGTCTGAAAGTAGAGACTAGTGGGCAATATTTTTCTCTTATATAGGAAAATTATCTAAAGCGTTTGACTAGTTTTAATAAAAAACGATATCGACAGTATATAGTTAAGTCGAAAACAGTCGATACATTGAACGGGTTCATAGAATTTCAACTTGTAAGAAAAACACAACTTTCTTCATAGTTCCCTAATCTCTAATGTCACGGAACAGTATTGTTGTTTTCAATTAGATCGTCATCAGGCTTTCACTGTCTCTAATATACATGAAAATATTAGACCGATCAAGGAAAATTTCAGTCAATAATCCCAATGAAATAGATTTCTTAATTAGACGAGTATAAAATATTAAGTTGGTGAAGAATATAAACAAGAAAGATGTAAAATATGATGATTTATAATAGAACTTTTGTGATTATCATTTTCAGTCTGTTTATGTACACGTTTGACCTAATACTACAATGGACAAAACATTTACGTTATTATATTCTATTATTCTGACCATTTATTATAACAACAGTACACCTGTCTTCCTGCAACTAACTTGTACTTTTCCAGTTATTATGTGTGGTCACGTAATCTATTTCATTTCATTGTATTTATCGACTCAAATTGCCTTGATTGGTTTAACATTTTCATTGTAACTATTCATGTATATTAGAGAGGGTAAAAACTTGATGACGATCTAACTGAAAACAACAGGTGTTGTTCTAATTTTCACAATGAGAATCTTTCATATTGTAATAATTATCAAGTGATCTGATTTTGTAAAAATCTACTTTCATGCCAACTTTTGCGTTACATCAATATTCAGTTTGTGACGATGGGAATTAAACAAGGTGTTACTTAAAAGAAATAAAAATCTCACTTATTCGAGCTCTCTCGTATTTTCGCAAAATATTCATAACTAGTTCTATAACAATTATGGTAGAGTTTCGTTCGCTCAGCTGTTTTCATCTCAGTTGTGTAGCTTTCATTGTTTTTCTGAGCAATATCATTAGCACAAACTTTATGTAGCAGTAAAATATTCGCATTTCTCCACGTCAAAGATTCGTAGCCTGTTCTGTAAACCTCGATCTTGATTGATTGTTATTCACCTTAAGTGGTTGATATCTACATCTTCATCCATGCGTACTTTTATAAACTTTATTTGCATTGTAGGGTTGTGAAAATTATTGAACTACTTTTGAAATCATGAATTGATCAGTGTTAGACCAATATTAGAAAACTGAAAGTACTGGATAGCCGTTTGTCCCAGTATAGGATTTATAAGCAATGGAACCCTATAATGCAAATCATCATGTGCTCACTAGTGACTGGCTACATGAAGAAGTTTCTCCAAATTCTAGTGAGGGCTTGTGACCAATGAATTTCAGCCTAGTTCGTGTGTGAAGCAATATACACCAAAAATAGTGGATCAGGTTGAGAAAAATAGTGGATTGGTTGAAGTTAGACATTAACGCTACATGATGCCGACTCGGTGGTCCAGCAGTTAAACATTCGCTCTCATGACCGAGGGTTACAGGGCCTGCGAGTAGCGGGAATGGTGTATGCTCATTGCTGATGAGTTAAATACCATGATGAAATTGTCTTCTCTCAGTGGACCATCATTTGTAAATCCATGATTTCAAAAATAAATTTTGCTGAAGATTTTCTATATTTTTTTAGTGGTTAAAACAGAAAACATTATTTCGTATAAATATATATCTATATATTTAATTTTTTTCTTCAACTGTAAATATATATATTTATATACAACAATGTTCCTAATCAATTTTTTCTCTATCAATGTGTATGTTGTATGTTTATTTGTATATTTTGGGAAACATGTTACAAATTGAAAAATGGACAAAATAATTGTAAAAATGTATATCTAAATTGTCTTGACATAACACAATATAATATGAAATTTAAACCATTATTAATTAATGTTAAAAAATCCAAAAAATCACCCAAACGTTCATAGACCGTGGCATTGAAACATCCACCTTGAAAATTGTTCAGTAGCAATAGAGCAGACTGTAATAAATAAAACAAAGAAAGAATAGTGATAAACGAATATTTCAGGATATAAAATTTTAAACAATATGTACATAAAACACATTAGTTAATTACTGTCTACACTGGGTACGACTTCCTACTAGAATTCCTCATGGAGCTAGTCACTAGTGAGTAATTGCATTACAGGTTGTGTTAAGTTACACATTTGAAATCGATCAAAGTTTGACCACCATTAGTTTTGGGGATGTTAGATCCCCAAAATTCGCTTGATAAATGCCTTATTTTGGTTTTCACGTTTGCCAGCATGGGCTGATCACTTGACCTTGAGATTTCATTTCCCACCAGGAATATCCATGGCTGTGATTGGCTGCTGTGCATTTTAGTGTGCTATTTTCGTAACCGTCCCAACGACGTTTCTATGATGTATAAATAAACGAGAGTTGTATGCTTGATTGTACTGTGATTGCTGGGTGTTTGTAGAATATACTTTCTACGCTTGTCAAGTCTTCTGTTTTCAAGTTTGGGATTCAAGGTAGCCTACCTGGACGCTGGTAATTGTCTCGTTCGCGTTTATCGACTAAGGTAAACTCGTACTAGCCTCAAGCATACTTAGTGACGAGCGTAACAATTAGAAACCTAGAAGCACTGGACAACAATTTCGTCCTGCTATGTGACTCATCAGCAGTGCGCACCCATGATTCCGGCACCTCACAGGATTCCAAAACAGGACCTTCGGTCTTGTGCACGAACGCCTAACCTCTGAACCACTGAGCGGGTATCTAACAGTATTAATGCTTAACTTCGATCAATTCACAGAGTTGCACAACCTCGTACACTGTATTTAGTAGTCACTATCTACACCCGAACTGGTTGGACTTCACTGGTCACGACTTCCCACTAGAACTCGGAGAAGATTCTTCATGGGGCTAGTCACTAATAAGCGCATGTAATTGCATTACGGGGTTGTGAAGATTGTTAAGTTACACATTTGAGATCGTGAAATCGAACATTGATCGTTCGATCACCATTAGAAAACTGGAAGTGATGGACGGCTGTTTCGTTCTGGTGCGGGACTCATCAGCTAGATATTAACACCGTTAGAAGCCGGCTCAATGGTTCAGAGGTTAGGAGTTCGCGAGCAAGACCGAAAATCCTGGGTTCGAATCCTACGATATACAGGAGTTGTAGATGCGCACTGTCACTGATGAGTTCCATACCAGGACGAAATGGCTGTCAAGTTGCTCCCAGGTTTCTATTTTTTGAGGTTTGTTGTAATAAATGCCAAATTTTCAATCAGTTTTAAATGTAAGTACAAGTTTATTACATCATGAACATTTTTCGAGACAATTAAACATGACGAAATACAATATGTAAATGTGTAATTTGTGAAATACTAAAAATTTCAATAGAACAATATAAATTGTAAGCAGAGGTGGGTGATTGCTAACAGTGGAGTCCTCGATGAGTGTTACCTTCTATTTAGGACTCAACAGCCGGATATACCTATATCCGAGAGTTGATGTTCACTCGGGAGCTCACTGAATAAGCCAGTAGTTATTTGAATTCACCAGGTAAGTTGATACTGTGGTGACATTCGAGGAAAAAAGGGTACTAATTTCGAATGCAATTGTGAACATCAACTTTGAAATGTAGGTACAGTTAACTGAACAATACCGAATACATTGATTAGTTAGTCCTAGATTCTGCTGCTAAAAATGAGTGTAACTAATCAATTGTATTCTGAAACATTGATCTAAAGATTCAAACGATCAATACAAACCAGTGGTAAAAAAAATCTATAGTTGAAGTTGTTAATGAGACAATTTAGTTTTTCTATTTTCATGTAGGGGATTTTCAACAAACAAAAGATTTTTATTAATTCTCTGATTCTGATCAACCTAATTTTTCTGATCACAAATATTTTTGGCTGGTGGATAGAACACACACTGAGGAAATCATATAACTGAGTTACAATCCAAGCTATCACTTGACGTCCTCAATTTTTCAAAGGATAAAAGAAGTCTAAACAACACAATGCACTGAGAAATGGAGATAGATATGAGAAGAATGAACAACAATTGGATAGAAATGGGAAAGAAGGCCAAGGACAGTGTATGTTTCAGAATACTGGTCGGTGGCCTATTTAAAGGTTTGTAGTATGTATTAGTTTGTAGTAAATTTGATGTACAACTAGTCATGATGGTAGGTTAAGTTGTGGTTGTCAATGTTCAGCCACGTTTTATCATCATCAACAGTGTAGAAAAGATCTCTTTCTGGAGACGTACTACCTAAATCAAAGAATTCATAACAAATATTGATAAAACGTTTTAGTCTGGTTGTTTCGAGTCAAAGCACATCGCCAGTAACTAGTTACAAGTCAGTTCGACAACATAAAACTATCAGGTTAAAACGCATGTTATCGCCTATGTCTTATCACCTCTGATGTCCTGATATTTGACGAAATCTCAGCACGGATACAAAAGACTAGACTGGCTTTTGCCAAATTGAGTCATTTATAGCGTAGGAGAGATATTCGTTCACTAACCAAAAGATAAGAGTAATGCACAGTAGTTCGCTCAATCCAACTATATGAGTGTGAAATATGGTTAGTTAGAATAGAGGGTATTCTTAGGTTGTTAGCTTTAGATCGTATATGTCTTCAAAGCATTGTTTATATATCCTATGACAATAGAGTAAGCAATGCAGTTATCAGGAATCAGGTACTAGGTAAGGATGGCAGATCAGGAATTAAAAGTTAGACTGTGTAATGTTGTTTACTAATAAATAATTCACCAGTAAAAAATGTTACACATTATATTCAACTTATCTCTGAAACATTGTTGATAAAAATCTCAAAAATTTATAGAAAGTAGGCCACTGGTTTAACCCTAACCAAACTTTGCTAGATCTCTTACGATTGACTGGTTGATGTATGTTCAAATGACACCAGTAACATCAGTAAACAAAATAATGTGATGTAGGATATCCTTTTGAATTGCGTTACACATAAATCAACTTTATTTTCATGATGTTGTCCATTCATTGTTCAATGTTCAATATTTTTCAACGATCTACGCTACTTTATTTACATTCAGTGTCAGATTTTATAAAATCCTGTTAAGGGGAGATGTCAGTTACCGGTATAGTCTTACATTTTTATAAAACTAATTAAAAACTTTGTTTTCTAACCATACAATTATATTTTCAATAAATAAAGTACCGTCACACTTGTTCTAATGCTTTTTTTATATAAAAAATATGTATTCATTTTACGTGTAACTTTTTCATTACTCATTAAAACAAGGTTCGATTTGAAGAATTCTTTCTTCTTTGTTTTTCTCTTTAAGTTTTTTCTCAAATTAAACGTCATTTACAAAATGTGAAATTAATTTCAATACTTTACGTAATGTAATTTTGCATGGATCGATTTCTCAAGCATCTGTTAAGCAATTCCATGTGTTATAAATCGATTGAGATTTTTGTCTGAATGTTTCGTAAAATCTTACTTTCAAATTTTAATAACACGCAATAATAGGTTTAAAAATTATTTGTAATTATAGGTAATATCAAATTGTCTGATCGATTTACGCATTTTTTTCAACGAAGTCATGAATGCAAACGAATATAGACAACTGTTTCAGGTGGTGTACAGTTACCTAATGAAGACAATAAATAAGGTTTCAAGAGATTGTTAAAAGGAGGAAGAAAATGAGATTTAAACACAGTTGTTGTAGACGTTAGATCCCCAGAACTCTCTTGATAAATGCCTTAATTTGGATTTCACGTTTGTGAGCATGGGCTGATCGGCTGATCTTCGTTTCCCACTAGGAAAATCCTTGGCTGTGATTCGCTGCTGTGTATTTTAGTGTGCTATGTTTGTGACTGTCCCAAGGACGTTTCTATGATGTATAAATAAACGAGAGTTGTGTGCTTGATTGTATTGTGTGCTTGCTGGGTGTTCGTAGAATACAGTTTCTACGCTATATCAAGACTTATGGTTAGCCAATGGATCAAGGTGAACCCGTAATAGTTTCAAGCATACCTAGTGATGAACCTAACACGTTATACTCTGCTTGTTATTTTGAACGACCAATGACATTGACATTTATTCTTACAGGTGAAAAATGTTCATTTTCAAAACGCTTGTTTAAACTGAAATAAATAATTGATAGTACTCATTTCTTTCCCGATCGGAGTTGTGTAGCCAGAGTACCGATTAGCATATTGGACCGAAATCAACTGAAAAACGAAAGTGCTTTACAGATATATACAGATGACTGAATTTTTACACAGAAATACTAAAACTACCATTCGGTTACAAATAAATTTTGTTTCAGAATTCAGAGTTTAGGCTAAGAGTTTAAAGATAAGGTCGATTCGCGTTTTCTTTTTGCAGCCTACGAAGAAAGAATCATGCATTTGAATCGATGTTGTACAAAACTAACTAATTGTTCGGATTCGCAACTTCCTGAGGAAAATACGTAATTTCTTCTCACAGATCAATATTCGCGATATATAAATTAAGCTCAAAAAATTAAATGTCATTTCCTTCTTGCACACGAACGAAAGTTATCCTTCAAAAAATTTTGTTCAGAAAATAATCAAATCTCGTTATATTGACTCATTACGATTCAATACGCTATCGACATTTTGAATTTATTGCATATTGGAAATTGAATAATCGTTTAAATTAACCTAATTTACTTGAACCAATCAGCAAACAGTAAGTATGCCATCATTAGAAAAACAAATTTCAAGGTCAATGAATTTTCTTACAGCATTTTTAAAATTTTTCGTTAATTCTGTACTCATCAAGATTTAGTTGTTATTAATGCTGTTGAGAATATCTGGTTTTGACATTAATTTTTTTTTCACAAAAATTATAATTAAACTTTAAATATATAAATATTGAATTTTATTTTCCATAAAAATTCATCTTTTTGTTTTAATTAATTAAATGTTTATAAAAAATTGTTTTTCTTTCGGTAAAAATTGACACATTTGACAGTGAATGAGTG